TTTCCCTGTACCTCCTTTACCATCTAGATAGGGTTCCAGATCAGGACTCGGGTGCAAGAACTTGGCCATGGCTGTATCTTTCTTGTGCAAAAAGCTGGAGCTCTCCAGATTTGTCCTACAGACAGCTACACCAAAAGGGAGTTGATAGAATGTGCTCGTGCTGTCACAGAAAAGGTAAGACATCCCTCTATGTTGCTTCACAGTGTTTGTCTACTGAGCTTCCCCAGGGAGTAAACCAGTCAAATTGGTTTGGTTCAGGAATTTTTTTTCTTAACTTCCCATTATAGTACAATATTGGCTGAATAGGTTCTTACTTTTCGTTCAAGTGTTCAGTGCAGTTCACATGCTAGATTAGCCCATGATTAGCCCTTGCTCATGTCTCGTAATAAAACTTCGGCCTCATACCAGAGGGAGACTGGTCCAAAAGTAATCCCTAAGACATGAGATTGCACTTGTGCCTTATGAGGCACTCCTTTGGGAAATACTAAGTCCACGGAGATGGCCACAGTTACGGAGATGAGGCTGGCCGATGACATGTGATTTCTTGTAGCAATGTCCTCCCCTTTAAAGGCTGGGCCAAGCTAACGCACTTAGAACTGCATCTTCAAACTGTCTGGGGTTTCTTGGCCTTTGGAAATGTCCACTTCAAATGTGATGACTTGATTAGCTCAGCTTTGCTGAACGTTTTTGATGGCCTCTCTCTCCTTTTGTTGTGCGTGAACACTGACTGTCAAATATCAGTTACTTTTAGATTTCGCCAAACATCACTTGTTCAGCCTGTGTTAGTGTGCTCTCAGCTGTACAAATTTTCAGATATAAAGCCATATATTGACTTTTTATATTTTTCTTTAAGTATAACAATATTTAGTATCTGGATTCAGAGTTCTGTTTCTCTGATGTTAAAGTTTATATCGGTGTAGGTGACTGCTGGGGTGTCTGAGGCCGGTGTTTATTTGCATGCACTAGGGGAAAAAAACAGTAGCTCTTGGCTCTGACACTTATCCTGACAGAAATTCACTGCATTACCTCTGACTGTATTTCAAGGAAGTTTTAACTGATGTGCTTCATCCTATGATGAACAGATTGCTTCATTCTGTCTAAAAAGTAGACTTCCTAGCTGAAGTCCCCTTTAATTCGAGACAATCTTTAGTCGTCACAATGACTACTGCACAAAGAGAGCAAATAAGGGAAGAGGAAGAAGAGGTTTATTAAAGTTTGCAAAATGACACTGCGTAATGAATTTCCATTGTTGATGTTATCCGGTCATGTTAAAGAGCTTGCTTAGCCTCATTATGGGATGTTGAGTTTTCTTTTGATGACTGCCTTGTTGCTTCATGTTGTTTCCAGGTCTCTTTAGTTTTATCTGCCCTTCAAGCAGGGAACAAAGGCACGCAAGCCTGTATTACTGCGGCTAGTGCTGTGTCTGGGATAATTGCAGATCTAGACACCACAATCATGTTTGCTACTGCTGGAACCCTTAATGCCGAGAACAACGAATCATTTGCAGACCACAGGTCAGTGTAACTGAAAAAGATGGAAGAGTGCATGCACAGGGCAATGGTGGAACTGGCAGAAGCAACCGGCACGTGGAGATAATTTTTTATCTTTCTAGAGTCCCTTGAATGAAATTGAATGAGGCAATGGAGTAAGAAGAGAAATAGGAAAAATGCAATATTGATAGAGGACAGAAAACTTCACTTTGGTTATTTTGCCAAGAGCATTTCCAACAGAAGACTGCAACGGCAGCACTATTTTGGCTTTTTTTTGTTTTTATTCATTGCATAGGCTACTATGCACTGTTATTCCAGTAGCGAAAATTAGCCGTCCATGACATTGAAGAGGAATCTTCTGTACGCTTTTCTCTGACAGCTGTTCTTGACTGTCTGGCTGTTTGTCTTGCTAAATCATGCTTATGGTTAATGCTGTTGTGGACAGCAGTGATGGAAATGGCACAGCTATGCCACACATTTTCCCTTTTGTCAGAGATAAGCCCGTTTTCCCTTCAAGTAGCATCTGCAACAAAATAATCCCACAGCATTTTTCATCACATTAAGAGATTTGCAGCATCTGACTGTTACTTCCATTGCAGTAAAAACCAGGGTTTCACAGCCAAGACACTGACTTACTGCTTCGCAGCCTGATTGGCCTGTGTGACAATTGCATGGCCAGCATTTATCTCCTGCCTTGCCAGTTGCTCAAGAAAGAGGAAAGATGCAACAGTGTGTAAGTTGCTGCCATTCTGCAGACTGAAAGTTAGGGATTTCCACACAGGTGCCATTAATTTCCAGGCTGACATTTTACATGAATATGGTTCTAGTTCTCAGTTAACTTGACTCATTTCTGAAGTACATATTCAAAATGGTTTCTTCTTTTACCTAAATGTTGCTTTGGATTTGTTGTCCTGAGATGTCAAAACATGTATATGGTGGGGGGAGAACTCTGACTAGGTCATATTCTCTGTTCCTTTTGCCATTCTTGCCACTGCCTTCCTCAAGAATAATTATTTTAGTTTCCTTCTGATATGCTGCTTAAGATGGAGGTTTGATAGCTGTTACTTTCCTCACAGCATGGCCAGATTTTTTTGTTTCAGTGTTAAAATGCAATGCTCTCTTCTGTTACTGCCCTTCCTCCTTTCTTTTCAAGATGGGGTCGTTTTAATAAACTGCCTTGTATCTACCCCAAAATATAATGCTACTGTTTTAATAGTCATCTTGTCTGTTGGGGGGGGGGGGTGTTGGTTTTTTTTTCACTTGCAACCTGGCCTGTGGTATATTAGTATGAGTGGACACTGGCGTGATGACTTACATCAGCTCTTTTATGTAGCTGTTAGTCACCTTAACATTGGAAAACACGTTTTTTTCCTCTTCTTCTTTTCCACTTCCTTCCCTGCTTCCTCTTTTTTTGCTACAGGGAAAATATCCTGAAAACAGCAAAAGCTTTAGTTGAAGATACGAAATTGTTGGTTTCTGGGGCTGCCTCAAGTCAGGACAAACTGGCCCAAGCAGCTCAGTCATCAGCTAACACCATCACTCAACTTGCTGAGGTGGTAAAATTGGGAGCTGCTAGCTTGGGATCTGATGATCCAGAAACACAGGTGAGATGTTTTAAGATTTTTCTCATACTCTTAAAGAGACTAGAGACAGTTTTCAATTGATAAGACTTTGTGGGATTTCTGCTTTTAAGCATCACAATAGGGTTCATCTCTTCTGGGACTTTTCTGGGTTTATTCAGGCATCACTCTTTTCTTAGAATATAATCAAGAGGTTAAAGTGTTAAGTGGAACTAGAGAAGCCTTTGTAGAACGCTTCTGCTTTTATTTCATGGGTATGTTCCAGCTGGGATGCTTTTGGCAAAGCATTTGTCTCATTTTCACTAAGTTGTGATTGGATCCCTGACTCATCCCATTTTTGTTCAAAAGAACTTGCATGACTTTAAAGTGACTTATCCAGCTTACAACTGGGCTGTGCACTATGTGTTACTTGTGTAGGCTAACAAGCTCTTGCCATTCTCTAGCTATATCTGAGTTGTTTTTCATTTAACTGAGTAACTTCAGCCTTCAATGTAGATTATCTCACATATTTCTTGAGTTGTCTGGATCTTGGTGAAATGGAGATTGGCAAGCACATTGCAGATGTACCTGTGGTGGTACCAAATTAGTTTGAAGAAGCCTGCTTGTTTGCATAATGCGCTGAAAGGGATGTGTGTGGGTTTTTTTGCTTGACCTGTATGATGGACTACTTCCGAGATCTTCCTGTCTAGGAAAATACTGCTGTAAGCACTTTTTGGGTTGTTTTTGGTTTTGTTTTGTTTTTTAACAGAAGGGTTTCCATAAACTAGCAACATTTGCAAAACATTTATCACAAATTGGTTTTCTCTGTATGTAAAAGCCGAGAATACAGTACAGTGCACCAGTAATGATTTATTTGGAGCAATTTTCTATTGTCAGTTTGAAATTGTAGGTGCATCACGTGTCCTAAATGGATCATTTCTAATAGCTTTAGCACAGGATACTGTCACGACATTTTTCCATAGCAGCAACACTTACTTTATCTGGTGTGATAGCGTTTCAGATGTCTAACACTACAAGTTGCCGCACGATGTAGGCAGTTGGACAACAGAGGATCACATCAGTCTGTCCTGCATCTCAGGACGTTTTATTTCCACGGTCAAAGAGCTTCTGAGCTACCAAAAACTAAGTTTTCCAGGAAAAGCAAAGACTTCACTTCTGTATAAGTTACAGTAAACTACAAACACGAAGGAGTGAGGCTGTTTTCCTATTTATAATGCTACAGAAATGCAGTTATTGAGAACTGATTGTTTGGGGGTGTTGGTTGACAGCCAGCTGAATGTGAGCCAGCAGTGTGCTCAGGTGACCAAGAAGGCTAACAGCATCCTGGCTTGTACCAGAAAGTGTGGCCAGCAGGACTAGGGAAGTGATCATCCCCCTGTACTCGGCACTGGTGAGGCCACAGCTCAAGTACTGTGTCCAGTTCTGGGCCTCTCACTACAAGAGACATTGAGGAGCTGGAGTGAGTCCAGAGAAGGGCATGGAAGCTGGTGAAGGGCCTGGAGGACAAATCTGATGGGGAGTGGCTGAGGGAGCTGGGGTTGTTTAGCCTGGAGAAAAGGAGGCTGAGGGGAGACCTTACTGCTCCCTGCAAGTACCTGACAGGGAGTTATATGTAGCGAGGTGGGTGTCTGTCTCTTCTCCCAAGTAACACGCAATAGGACAAGAGGAAATGGCCTCAAGTTGCCCCAGGGGAGGTTTAGATGGAATATTAGGAAGAATTTCTTCACCGAAAGGGTTGTCAGGCATTGGAACCGGCTGCCCAGGGAAGTGGTGGAGTCACCATCCCTGGAGGTATTTAAAAGGCGTGTAGGTGTGGTGCTTAGGGACATGGTTTAGTGGTGGTCTTGGCCATGCTAGGTCTATGGTTAGACTCGATGATCTTAAAGGTCTTTTCTAACCTAAACGATTGTATGATTCTATGCTATGATTCTATGATTGTTCCACAGTTTGTTTTTTTCCTGAGCTTTCTCATTTTTCATGCATCTTTTAACATTTTCCTTAAAATGAACTCTTCTGAATTCCAGAAAAATACTTAAAACATCTGGTTTTTCTACTAGTGGAAAGGGCAAAGGAGAAGGATTTGGAGGAGAGGATTATTCCAGTAATACTCTAAAATAATTAACAAGCCTGTTGTAGTGTCTGTATTTTACCTAGGACTTCTGTCTTTGAGCTTGGGTTTAGGAGACAACATCTCCAGATTTTACTTCTCCTGACTTCAAGGCCAACTTAGTTATTCACCATTTAATTCTGTATAGCCTCTTACAGAGGTTCAACTTCCTTTTCCCTGAAAAGAGCATCTCCCTCTAACACCTAGCCATAGCAAGTAGCTTTGATCTTTCCGTAGGTAATTTCAGAACTGGTACACAACTGTAGCATTAGACTGTAAGCTTATCATCAATCTGGTTTCTTGCTCTCATCCCACTTCCACCCAAAGGGTGAAGAACATGCGGAAAAGTAAACCTTCTTTTAGGGAAGCTCAGAGGAAGGAAAGCCTACCTGCAATCAGCATTTCAACAGGAAATAGTTGCTTTTATAGATTCTGACCGGTTTTATGAAATACTGTAGCTATCAACACAGCTTTTCCTCTTCCAGAATATTACATGTTTTACTGGGGTAGAGGGAGGATGGTACTATTTCTGCACCAGCAGTAGATTTTGGGGGGGTTTTTTTAGTGGTGTTCTAAAAATCATGCCCTCATCTCTATTTCTCATTCTTACAGGTTGTCCTGATCAATGCTATCAAGGATGTTGCAAAGGCCCTTTCTGATCTCATTGGTGCTACCAAAGGAGCTGCCAGCAAACCAGCAGATGATCCATCCATGTACCAGCTAAAAGGTGCTGCCAAGGTAAAACCTCATTCTTAAATTTTATTTGAAAGTATCTGCACAATTGCACTTGATAGACATGTAAAGCTTGGATTTCAGCAATTTCTGATTGCCTGAAATCTCATATCTTTCTTTGTTTCATTATCGTCCTGGAACGATACAAAAAAAATATGACACCATTGAGTTTCCATGAAGTTATCTTTTTTTGTCGGCTGTCAGATGACTTTTGTGTTTTTGATGAAAGAACTGTAATCTTTCATTAAGGGGAGGGAGGGAGGAAGGGGAAAAAAAAACTTCTGATAACTCTACAGTAGGCTATTGTGCATTTCTGACCTCCTCTCTCCTAGATCTTTCCAGGAAGTACATGGGTATCAAAGCTCAAAACTTGCAGAGATTACACTATACCTGTGATATCTTTGTACTTTATTTTCCCTGCACCTGAGATGTATTATGACATTTGCCTTACAAAGATCTTGTGGCTTTGTGTTTACAAAATATTTCCAGATGTGGAGATTTAGGCGGTATTACTTTTGCTTTCACGTTAGGAGAGTGTTGTGGTAGCTTCTTGCTTGGCTGGAAGCTTTTCTCACTCTCATGTCTGTTGCTTACCTTTAAGACCTGTGCGCCTCTCTCGGAGCACATGATAACAGTATACTGTTGAGACACTACTTGAAAATGAACCATCTTGTCAAGGAGAGTGGCTTCTTAGCTCTCCCTGCTCTGAAGAGCTCTCTGTGTTTTAAGTCATAAGTGTCACGAAGCTGACCTTTCTGTCTCTTCTTTTTTCACTGTAACTATCATTTGTATCTCAACATACTGGCGTATAGGAGAGGCGTAGCTATTACTGTGAAGATTAGGTTATTCTGCATCAGGACTATTGGTTTTATAATGGGAAGAGTAACACTGATTCTATATCTGCATTTGGGCCTGAGGCTGGTATCTGGCTGCTTGCTTACCTGGGATTTTATCTGATTGCTGAGAATGTACTGGGTAAATTTCCAAAAGAAATACCATACCTCAATTCCCATCTCTTTCAACTTGCAGTGTAAGATGTGCAGGAAGAAAAGACAATAACATAATCAAGAGACCTACTCTGGAAATGTTGTGAATTTTCTGTTTTGTAAAATTTTTGCCAGAACACTAACACTTAAGATGGTATCACTCTGCAGTTAGTTGTGCTACATTTCTGCAACTTACAGGGAGCTTTCAGAAACTGACCAACAGGAGAGGTGGTATTTAGTTCCATAACGTGTACAGTTCATGAAACCTCTTAGGCCCTATTAGAAGTAATAATGCTACCTAGCTTAATTTGCCTTGCTTTTATACCTTGCTGTCTCTGAAAAGTGGGAGGAAGGAATCACGTATTTTTGTCTTCACCTCTCTCTTCTTCAGGTGATGGTAACAAATGTCACATCACTTTTGAAGACTGTTAAAGCAGTAGAAGATGAAGCTACTCGAGGGACAAGAGCTCTTGAGGCCACAATTGAGTACATCAAACAGGAACTCACGGTACAGAACAAAATAGCCACACGTGGCAATTTTTGAATGTATGCTCTTACACTCAAACCAGCCTGCCAAGGCACTCCTCAAGCGATGCTGTAGTGCCTTGCAGTGCGTTGGATGCAGTTTGGTTCTCTCTGCCTGTTGCAAATCATCTCTGAAAGTGCAATTGCAATGCCACTTCAGCCTATCTACTTTCAGACGTTACCAGTCCCCACTTTGAGATTTGAGATCCTACCGTCATGTACAAATCTGGAAGCAACTGCTGCTTTGTTCTTTAGACATTGAGCTTTGACTACCGATACTCTTTTCCAAGTCCAATGCTGTAGACTTTTTTTTTTGATCCTGGCTTTGGTAATGTCTCCTCAGCATCATAGCCGTATTGTACCTGCAGTTTAATCTCGTTTCTATTTTTCCTTTATTATGGAGAGATACTACCAGTGATACATAGTCTGCTATCTGATACTCTCTCTGAGCAGGATTTAACAAAGCATGGAATTCTCTACCCAATTAGGCGTTAGACCATGACAATTCTTTTTCTTCCTCTTTAAGATACAGAAGTATACCCTCCAGCTGCAGCTTTCAGTTATTTTTTTTACTAGTACACTAGTCAGTGACATAAATTAATACCTGTGTGTTTGTGAAGAAGCCTGATTTTTTTTTTCCTTCCTTTACTTACAGACCATTTTTATAAAAAACCTATAGACACAATCTTCAGCAGAAAACAGTTTGTTGTTTAGTCTGAGGATTCTTATGCTGTAACTGCACTGGCATAGTTTTGCCTTGTCAAGTTCTCTCCATAAAACATCTATTTATTGTTGTGTGAGCAATGCTGTTGTAAGGAAGAAATAACTCTTATTAATTTTAATTGATTTTTTTAAATGTCTGTATATAGTTGATGGGAATTCATACGCTATCTGCAGTGGTAAAAACTCCTGATTCAGTACCTGATCAGGAATGTTCTGTACAATATCTAGTGCATGTTACTGTTGTGTATCCTCATGAAGGCCTGGCTAAGTTATATTCCTTCCCATAACTCTGATCTAAAACCTGTCCAAATCTGTCATTGAAGGATTGTGCATTATCACATCTGCTTTCTCAATCTGGTTGGTATCTCTTTGAAATGTTCCTCCTTTTCCTTTTGTCAGCATTGCTAAGGAATGGATCTGTGGTGGTGGTGGTGTTGTCATCTCTTTCCTGGGGAGAAAAGTGGAGTACTAGGAGAGGGCTGAGAAAAACTGAGGATGGCACGTATGTGCTCAAGAAAATGCATCAAGCTTGACTTGGAACTCCAGGGACTGAATCTGAGAAGTGTTGAGGAATGCCCTTCACATATTTAACTAGACTTTATTTTTTAACATTGCTTCTATTTCTAGAGAAAGTGAAAAACTGCTGAACTGGAATCATGGGATAGACCAGGCTCATTTTTGTCCAGACATTTGCATTCTGTAACCACTAGCCTGCTTAGGTTGCACTGTGTGTAGTCAAGAAACATCTCCTGATTAATCGTGCGCTCTGAATTGCCCCTGCACGGTAAAAGAATGGCAAGCAAATACAGACTAAAGCTTGGAAAAAGGAAATATAAAAGTAAGGTTACCCAGCTCTTATTACCTACATCTTACCACTGTTCATGTATTCCAGTAGTCATGACAGTAGTATGTACTGTCAGATAATTTGAACTATTTTCACACGATTCACACTGCAAAATTAGTCTCCCTTAGAAACCTAAAGATATAAGTATAGCATAAGCAACAGCACTCCACCTCCACTTTTTTAAGAGACACTTGAATATTTTAGTGATGTTCTCAGTCTGTCCTGCACTGTGCTATCAACAAGGGCTTAGTAGGGCCCAGCCTTTGCAGGGTAAGGATCTCCTCATGTGAACAGAGCAGCCTAAGCAGCAGTCAGGATGAAAAAAGAATACAATTAAAAGAACAGTAATTCTTTTGATCCTGTAACGCTCTGAACAGCTTTCTGTAACAAACTGTTGTCCACGTTAGTTAAATGGCAGATGAGATAAATGGGTTAACCTTTTCCTATGCTTCCTTCAGCTTATTATTTCTCTCTGCTGTCTGTAGGTGAGCAGGCTTAACAGGACCAGGCTCATGACAAGCAAGAATGATATTCAAGTACTCAGAATATGTTTCTAATATCCTGCTGTTCGAAGGCTGCTTCCATTTGCTGTCACTTTCTCATGGTTCTTCTGCTTTGACTTGAATGGTATCAGGCTTTCCTTCTGCTTTCACTTTTAGGTGTTTCAGTCAAGCGAGGTTCCAGAAAAGACATCATCACCTGAAGAATCAATCCGGATGACGAAAGGAATCACCATGGCAACTGCCAAAGCTGTTGCAGCTGGGAACTCATGCAGACAGGAGGATGTGATTGCTACAGCAAATCTGAGCCGCAAAGCAGTAGCTGACATGCTAACAGCTTGTAAGGTAAAGATTCACTGCCTTGCCTAAGACTGATTTTTTTTGTTGTTGTTGTGTGTGTGCCTCTAAATCCCTTGAATGTTATAGTTTGTTCAGTTTCTTTGTATTAAGGCTGTACTTTTCAGATGAGAAAGTTAATGGTTACGATAATTTTAAGGGAATGTGTGTCTCAGGATTTTCTGTGCTATGCACAAAAAAGAAGCAGCACTAATATTGACTGTTTTCTTTTTGTGAAAATAAGTTTTATTTTGCCTGAAATTTCCTAGTTTTCAGGCTCCTATTAAACTGGAAGACAAACAATCTGTGAAAGTAGTAGAATATACAAATAGTTCTATGATCACAAATATGGTTTCAATATTTCTAGGAATAGTGAAAGCAATGCTGAAAGGAATCACTCAGGTCTATTTTTAGTACTCCTTTCCCCCCTAACCAAACCTGTCAGTTTACTCAATTTCTTCTGTGATTCTCAAAAGTGTGTTTTACCTTTGCACTAAAAATACTGGTACCCTGTTTTCTGTACTTGATTGAGCTCGACACCTTTCAAAAACTGCCCTGCAAAACCTGGGGAGGGGGAAGTATGTGTCATATAAATGACTATTAAGACATTTGGCTTTGTTCTGGTGTTAAAAAAGATCTAGGCATAAATCAAAAAAAGGATTATAAACATTACATTCCTTTTGGTCTTCAGTAGTAATGCAAAACTGCCTTTGCCTGTAAATTACATTTATTTACTTTTGCCTTTACGTGTATGGAAGATGACAGTAAAATAATGATGCTCTCTGCAAGGTGTCTGATTTTCAGTATTTGGTCAAATTCTAACTGTCTACATCAGTCCCAGATTACTTTTTAGTTTAATACTGCCCAGGTGAAAGGGTTAATTTTGTTTTTTAAAATGATCCTCCTACAAAAGTGCAAGTTCTAATATAACTTAAAACTGGATTTATGGAAGACCATTGAATGAAACTTTTGACTTAGTTATCTGACAGGGGTTTTAGTGTCTGACAGTTCTTGACCACTTTTGATTCTGTCCTTTCCACTTCATAAACTCAGAAGGTCAACAAAACAAAGCAGCTGTAATTTGCCTGGGAAAATTAAACAACTGTGCTACTTACATGGAACTACCATAGCCTAATATGTCTTAGGTACAATCCAGTTAATTGAAACTTCTAAGGGAGGCTAAAAACAGTTAATAGTTATGCAACATTCTGACAAATTACTTCGGGCATTCATTCAGATACTGAGGTGCACTAAACATCGTTTGTCATTTGGAAGTGGCTACTACAGACACATTTTTGTTTCTGTCTCTCCAAACAGGCAGCAAATTCTCAGGAACAGAATACTCTGCTTCCAAAAATGTTATAAACACACTCACATACACAATATATAGCCTGATACGTAATTTTGAAAATTCATCTTTTTATGTTTACATTTGCTCCCAGTTAATGATTTCAGAGTTCATGCATCGCAAGTGGCTGCCAGGATGAAACTTCCTGCAAACTGAAAATGGAGGTCAGGAATGCTGGAAAAGCATTTGTGATCTCCCAGGGAATTACCTTCACAAAGCAAGCAATCTACAGAAGGAAAATGGCTGGGAATCATTTTACGTACTTGTAATGATACACTGATAAGGAGTAAGATCTAGTTTTATCTTGTCTGGATT